AGGGAGGGAGGGAAGGGGAGGGGGTAGGGAGGGAGGAGGAGACAGACAGAGAAAGAGAGAAGAGCTGAGTGTTTAAGGAGAAGCGCAGGTCTGAGGTGTGGGCTTGCAATCAGGTGTCTGAGGTTGGAAGGAGGTCCCTGGAGCCAGGGGTTGGAGGCTGTGGGTTAAGGGTAGAATTCAAACCCTGAGAAGCCAAGAGGAAGGCCAAGGAGGGTGGCATGTTGGACCCTGCAGAGGGCCAGCCCTGGTTTTGACGACAGCTGCTTCACCATAGGGGCCACACTCCCTGACCCCTGGGCCACAGGGAGAGCCCTCCCCTCCTCCTTTCCCACGGCTGAGCCCCTGTTCCCTCTGTGAGAGGCGGGAGAGAAGCACCTCCGTCACTCTGGAGTTCTGGACTCGGGGCACAGGGGACAGGTACGTGGTGGAGGAGGGGAGTGTTCCAGGCGGCTCCTCCCTGCACCCCAAGCCCGGCTCCGCGTGCTCTCCAAGACATTGCCTTTCCTGGAAACCATGGACCGAGCCCTGTCTCTGCTGCTGAGGAACTCGTCAGACCTGTCTGTGTCCCACAGAACCAAGCCAGAGCCAAGGCACCGCAGGCCACAGGCAGCTGCTTGCCAGCTGCTTCCTGCAGCGAAGCCTGCCCACCTGCAGGAGCCCAGCTGGCAGCGAAGACCAGAGGGGCTCCATGCCACCTCAGAGAGGAGGCCAGGGGTATTGGTCTCATTGATTCCTCTGTCCTCAGTCGCTCAACTCGTCTACACCTCCTCTGTACCGGTGCTCAGAGAGGATGATCAATATCATCAGTAACACCTAACCTCTGCCCTCCATGATCTCGGCCGGGAGATGTCAGGGTAGGGGGTAGGGTAGGGGCGTGGGAGTGGTGCGGTTCCACTGGGGGCCCCAGAGAAAAGAAAAGCAGCGGTCCTCTCAGAAGGCACAAGCCGGCTGTCAGGCTGCCGGTGGCTTCAACTCCCTGGTCTCTGCCACTGTGGGGAGTTACACAGTGTTATAGTGGACCCCAAGTTTCTCTTCCAATTATCAGCATGTCAGTACGTTCAGCTTTCTTATTCCTTAATTCTCTATTTTAAAGTTTAGCTTCCTTGTAATCAGTAATTCACGTCTGTTCCCCCGGCCCCCGGCTCCGCCTTGATTCATCCCGGTCACCTGCTCCTGTCCCATTCTTTGACCTAGGTCACCCCCGGCTACCTGCTCTGACCCGCCCATAACCGTCCTTCCCGCCACAGCACCCACCCTGCCACTCCAGCTCCGACCCCTGCTCTCTTTAAAATAGCCAATCAGGATTAGTCCAGCCTGTACGGTCTAACCCTAGCCAATAGGGGGATGACACAGCAGTAGGGACGACCCCCGTCAGGCATAAGTACCCCTTCCCCTCCTTGTCAAAATGTGCGGCTGCCATTGCCCCATCCATGCAGCACACCCTGCTATAGAAGTAAACTGCCTGGCTGAGAGGATTTATCTTCAAGTGCTATTTCTTTTGCAGCATGGAAATTTTACTTATAACTAACAACAGCGTGACCTCCTGGAGGCCCCTCTCGCCCAAGCTGTGGTCATTGGCGTTCTCGACTGCCCTGACCTGGGCACACCACCAGCCGCCTTCAACATCCACGTCTTTCTGTCCTGTCCTCAAGGAATACCCGGATGAGCTCAGGCTCTCCAGTTCTTCCTCTGGCCCCTGTAGCTGGGGTGATCCACAGAGCTGCCCTTCCAGGGGTGGACAGCTGGGGCTCCCAAGAGCCAGAGTGAAATCAGCAAGAATGAGCATGTGCATGGACACGCCGCCCTTCCAGAGTTCTACCTGGAACCCCCTTTCTAAAGGTACAAGAACGTGGCGGGGCGTAGTGTCTCATGCCTGTAATCCCAGCACTTTGGGAGGCCGGAGTGAAACGATGGCTTGGGCCCCGGAGTTCAAGACCAGCCTCGGCAACAAAGCAAGACCCTATCTCTAAAACGAAATAATAAAAAACAAAACAAACAAAAGAACCCTTTGCCGGCCTCTTGAACTTCCTGCACCACCGTCCTGTCGGCTCTGCGTTCCAACCGCAGTGTCATTCAGGGCCCTACGTTTCCTTCTGTTACAGGGTGTTTGCTCATGCCTCTCTCTCTGCCTTTGCCCAGTACTGCCTACCCCCATATTAATCAGGGTTCTTTGCCCCCTTTGCCCAATACCCCCTCTATTAACCAGGGTTCTTATAGGGAAAGAACTAATAGAATACATACATATATATATATATAAATAATTATTATATATAAATATTATATATATATATAGGAGTTTATTAAGCACTAACTCACAGGATTACAAGGTCCCACAATGGGCCATCTGCAACCTGAGGAGCAAGGAAGCCAGTCCGAGTCCCAAACCTGAAGAACTTGAGTCCGATGTTCAAGGGCCAGAAGCATCCAGCATGAGAGAAGGAGACAGGCTGGGAGGCAAAGCCAGTGTAGTCTTTTTTTTTTTTTTTTTTTTTTTTTTTTGAGACAGAGTCTCACTCTGTCGCCCAGACTGGAATTCAGTGGCGCGATCTCAGCTCACTGCAACCTCCACCTCCCAGGTTCAAGCGATTCTCCTGCCTCAGCCTCCTGAGTAGCTGGGATCACAGGCGTGCGACAACACGCCCAGCTAATTTTTGTATTTTTAGTAGAGGACGGGGTTTCACCATGTTGGCCAGGCTGGTCTCGATCTCTTGATCCACTTGCCTCGGCCTCCCAAAGTGCTGGGATTACAGGCGTGAGCCACCGTGCCCGGCTCAGCATAGTCTTTTCTCATTCTTCTGCCTGCTTTATATCCTGGCTGCCCTGGCAGCTGATTAGCTGGTGCCCACCCAGACTGAAGGTGGGTCTGCCTTCCCCAGCCCAGTGACTCAAATGCTCATCTCCTTTGGCCACACCCTCACAGACGCACCCAGGACCAATACTCTGCATCCTCCAGTCCAATCAAGT